GATTTTTATTTTCATTTTCTTGTTTGTAGAAGTAGATTATGGTAAGAGTTTTCTTAAACACCCATTATATTGTTTGCCAAATGGGTGGGGATTTATTCTGTATTCTATGCTTTCAACTTCACAAACAGTAAATATAGAACTAAAACCGAAAATACAGCCCTGAATAGTAGCCTAACAAGCTTTTTTTTAAAAACATCTGGCTATGTTGTTCTCTGGCTTGAATAATACGAGGAAACGTACAAAGCAACATACAACATTTTTACTTGTTTTTATTCGTTCGTCCTGTCTTGTGTTGTTCAATCAAGTACGTCAAACATCCTGTGCGGAACAATGATTTTTGGTAAACTGATATGCATTCCCACCAGCACAGACCATCTGAGATGATGTCTCAATCTTATCGATCTGTCAAACGTGAAGCATTCCTAGGTTTCATTTGGATCCTGGATTATGACAAGGAAAATGAAGAAATTTTCTAGAGATTTTTGCTTCTTTTTATTTATTTATTTTTTCCCCTTTTGGCCAGGGTTTTCGGATCTGTTTCATGTATGTAGTCTTGCTCTTAATCTAAAGTTAAATTCTTTGAGTAGGGAAGTAAAAGAAAAGGTTACGCGAATACTAAAATATATTGCAAACAGCTTTTTACGCTTTTAAAAGCACCAGTTTTCATATACGGTTGTTCAAGGGGAAAAGCGGATAAGATACGAGCTGTCATTGAAGAAGAGACGTGGAGCGAGATAGCTTGTTAGGCTACTATTCAGGGCTGGGAAAGTGCGAAAAAAGATCTCATGTCCACTAGACATAGGGTAAATAATGAGTTATGATGGAGTTTCTCGATACATAATATAGCATTTGATGAACCAAACCAACAGAAACCTCAAAAGACCACAGTTGAATATGACTCTTTTCTAGAAGGTAACTCATCCAGCGAAGGAACGATTCAACAATCGTCGCAAGCGCTACAAGAGGCATAGGACGTGTGGAAATAACAAAGAAGATGAGGGATTTGACCTCTGTGTAGCTAAATTAAAGAAAAGAACAAAGATTGAGATATGCATTCGAGTTTCATATTGGCCTCCTCAGTTTTAAGAAGAATAGCCTTCTAAGAATTACTACCATTTGGAATTAGAGTTGACAATTCTTATATTTTGATTATTTTTGTTTATGCCTTGTGATTTTCATACTTTGCACTCAGCCTATCGTAAGATTTTATGTATGGTTGGTTAGATAGAGAAATTAATACAACACCTAACAATATTAAGAAAAATAGAAAATAAAATCTCGTCAATTTGAAAAATCATGTATCGTCTTGTATTTTGAGAGTATGACTTTATGAAGTTTAACGGCGTTATGCAACAGCTTACTGTTACCCCCTTGATGATCGCAAGAGCTGGAACGACTAAGACATGGGCAGTGTCTTGCTCCCATGTCAAATGCAACCTAATAGATTCGTGGCATGCAAACTTTAAAAGCAATTGGTGGAAGTGTTCAAAGCTAGCTAGACGGATTTCACTGAGGCGGTTACTTTCGACAGTGTCAAGGATTTTATATGTGCAAAGCAGTTTAACAGGCAAGTTGGTTATCAGCCATGTTAGGGCAGCTTCCTTGTTGGGAAACATTTGAATTTTGATCCTTAGTAATATGAATTTTATATGTACTCTTAAGACGAGATATAGGGTATTGAGTGTACTGTTCCGATCCTTGTCTGATTTTGTGAGTTGTCATTTACTACGGTAATAAAAGTCGGAAAGTGTTTTCTGTGGTTCGTGTGTTTGTTTACATATTCTGTCCCTTTCATAAAGTGTTGCAATTCTTCGTTAAACAAAGAAATTTGAGTGTCTTCGAGAGCTGATTGAGTGCAAAACTAAGTGCCATATAGGGAAAAATTTACTGCAGAAAAATTGACCCTATAACATTTTCCATGCTGGTATAACCAAATGAAATGCATAATTTCATTAGAGAAGTTAGATTTCCAATCTATTTTTCTTTGCCAATTTCAATTTCAAAACTAGCTTCCGCGATAATATTGTAAGCACTTTTATATGAAAAAAAACGTACTATTTTTTGTTCCTCCTGCAGCATGGGTGACATGAAAATATTAATTCCCCTTCAATGCTCCCAAAATTTGTATCTGGGAAGAGGATAGGTTGGATAG